TTTTATACGTTTGAATAATCGGTCGCAGTTGTCGGTGGAAATGTTATCTATATTATATAGTCCTTTAATAATTATTATTATTATTGCGTGGACACTGTGACTGTATTTCAGATATCGGTAAATTCGTGGAAACGCGTATGTGAATTTGCGCGCCGTGTACACTGTCGTAATCGCTAATAGTTTTTTCACTCTAAATGGTACCTACAATATTTCAAAACTTTGCGCCTTTAAAATCTTGCGCCCGGGTGCAGATGCCCCTCTGCCCCCCCCCTTTAATCCGGCCCTGATTCGATGTACATACGATACGATGATAAACCACGGAGAGCAGTGTTTGACGCGTTTTATTTAATTGTGCATTACATTGTAATACAATACAAACAATTGTTCTTCTGGTTTAGTAGTATTAGTAGCGATTTGTAAAAAACAATGAGTGAAAGGAAAAGAGATTATCCCAGGGGAGTTACGAAAAGAAAAAGTAAACAAAAAGGGAGGAGGTCATAAAAAAAGTGCCCAAAATGTCTTCATTTTTTCAGACACCAGCTCCTGTAAGTGATTTAGATTGCAAAGGTGAGTATTACCCAACCCATTTATCTTATCTACCTGTAACGAAGGGTGAATATTGTTTTTAGGGTTCCATACCTCAAAACAAAAAAAACTGAACTCTTACTTACCTATAGGATCGGCTGATTCCCGTTTCCACCTAAAGTAAACCTTTCCCTTTTCCATCAATACCCGTTTCCACCAAAAGTGTATCTTCCCTTTTCCACCAATATCCATTTCTACCAAATGAGATATTGATCATGTTTTTACCAAAACAATTGTATGCTACGATTAAATTAAAAGCTATAGCACAGTAATAATTTTATTTAACTTATACTATTAATTCAATAAATGTAAGGCATTATAATATAATATAATATTATACATTATTATATTCGATTATATTTTAATATATACAACATAGGTTGGAAAACGTTAAATTTTATTTAAAAAAATGGTCAGATATAAAAATGCGAAAAAAAATATATATTATGGTATAAGATACCTTAGTTATGTAAATTGTAATTATATATAAAATTAGTTGATATTTGTTAATTGATCAAATGAAAAATTTAAAGTTCTTTAGCATTAGTGTTTTATTTCCACGTTTACTTTCGATAACTTAAGCCATCATTGAATTATAAATTTTAAAATTTACGTTTTATTTTAACACAAACCCAGTTGTAACTGTGCCATAATTTCACTTGTTCATAAATTATTTGATTATTTAGATATTATCATGATTAATCGACATAAAAGCACATACATAAATACAATAACGGTTTAACATACAATTAAATACCATAAAAGTACAATATACATTGATTATATATAGTGTGTATATTTATATATGTTTTACATCAATCCGAAAAAACTCATGAAAAGTATAGGTATTCTATCTCATTTGGTGGAAACGGATATTGGTGGAAAAGGGAAAGATACACTTTTGGTGAAAAAGGGAAAGGTCTACTTTTGGTTGAAACGATCAGGCCCGTGTGTAGTTTTTTTTTAAAAGTCCGATCCGACCATGCCCGTTTATAAATAAAAAGTTTTCCGGAGGTAATAACAGCATGCTTTTTATTCTTGACCCTTCCAGTTACAACCGCAATTGCTGAAAGAAGTTTTTCAAAATTGAAACTGATAAAAAATTACCTAAGAACTTTGATGGGACATAAACACCTGTCAGACCTGTCGCTATTGACCATAGAGGCAGAAACTTAAGAAAAACTAAAGACATCATCAGCTATAAATGATTTAATTTATTTTAAACATATTATAAACTAAAAAGTTCATTAGAATAATAAAATAAAATATGTAAGCATTATTAATACCTTATTTATCACCTTATTTATCACAGTATTTGTTTTAAAATATAATAACAAATATAAAGCAGCAATGTATTATATTATACATTCAATGTATTTATTTTTATGGAAATAATGTACTTTTCTATACTATGTCTCTAATTTTCGTCTTTGACATTCGGTTAATATTCAAAGTCTTAGACATTTCTGACAATTTTAGACTTTTGTTATTTTATTAAACTAATGTTATTTTAACTTGGTTTTATTAATTTAATATATTAGACATCAAACACATTCATTACTGTCAATAGTTATTTTGATAAATTTTTCTTATTAAAATGTAAATTATATTGTATATTTAAATCGCTTGTACTACAAAGGAAACAATTAATTAAAAATGAACTTTAAATTTACTCAAAATCATATTTCATGTTGATTTTACTCCAATATTAAGTTTTTTAAATACATACTGTACATAATAATTATGAATAGCAAAATCGATTAAATTATTCGCGTGTTTCCTGATCTTTGTTTTTTTTTATTTTTTATCTTGTATTGAAATTATAATGAAGGTTCTGATTTATTAGTGAATTTCAAATTCACCCGGTTGACTACTCATTTATTTTTTTTGTACGTAGTAAAGATAGTTGCTGTCTGTGAAAATTAAAAATAACTAATATTTATTAAATTATTTTTATATTAATCAATTAATATTCGTTTGCTAAGGAAAAAATAAAAAATACTTATGAAGGGTTCTTAAAATCAAAACCACTTTACTTCTTTTCAATTTTTTAATTTTTTTAATAAAAGAAAAATGTTAACGCTACTGCATTAATATATTTCAACATCAATATTAAAAATGGTACATAATTATAAATAGGAAAAAAAAATTAAATATCAAAGAAGTTTATTATTTTCTGAATAGCAAAAATAAATCCAAAATCAATTTTATTAAAAAAATATGTGGTGATTTTCCGACCAGGAGTTATTAAAATGCTTGAAAATGTCAATATCATTTTTTACAGTATCATCCTATGTTTAATTTACAGTTTATCTTTAAAGTTCTGAGAAACTTTTGTAGCAATTTTCCTGCAAAATAATAATGTAGATATAAGTACTATTAAACTTAAAATATTTTAGTCGGCATTCTTTTAATTATCTTAGTTTTAAATCAATTAAAGAATAGATCTTACATTTTTGATCAATGAAAAATAAATTATTAATATAACTGTTATTTTAAAAGTAGGAAATACAAAATTCAATATCAATATTCAACTTACTCAATACATTTCATTTTTTTCTTATTAATGGACCCTTAAATGTATGATATACAATAATTTAATAATATCAATTATAATATATAAACATATACATTTATCTTTCATTGTTTTACAAAATATATTTAAAAAAAATATTTCTGTAGTTCATAAACATGTTTAAAACATTATCTGTTTTCTTGATAAATGTTGTATTTCAATTTATTGTCACTTTCAAATTATAATATCATTATGTTGTTTCAACTTTATAAATTTGTAGTTACCTATTAATTTAATTATGTATTTTTATACATTTTTAAATAGAAGATTAATTTAATATTTATTCAAATATTTTTATGTTTTTTTTATTTTTTTTTATTTTTTTTTTATATCAATCATAATATGTCAAATATCAAAGAAAACTGAAAATTTGGTATTGAGATAAGTATTGAACAAACATTACCTTTACTGAGGGAAATAATTTTTTAAGTTTTTTTTTTAATATTTTTTATTGTCTTAAAAAATGTACTTTGAATTTATTATCAACATTTTTAACTGTTAAATCGCCTAGAACATAATTTACGTGTTTTTTCTCGTATCATTTATATTTTACCTCCTATCAATCAAAACTAAAATGTACCCATGTGTACCTTACATACGATATGTTTAAACGTAATTTTTCATATTTTTATGTTGACAATTATTCTTCAAGAAAAATACAGCATCTTAGTTGTATTCGAAGGAATAAATAATGCATAATTATGGATACTACGATTTATATACGTTTTCGGGTAATAATTATGTGAAATATAAAATGTTTACGAAAATATTTACAATAATAAACTGCATAAGTATACAATAATAATTCAAAAATATTCTATGAATTTAAAATCGAATATTTACTTATATATAAATGAAACATTATGGCCTCTTTTACCTGTTTTTGTTGGAAACTTCATGGTTATGTGTGTTTTTTATACATGAAATATTTTACATCCATAATATCTAATGTTATCAGGATATTATAATTATACTGTCATAAACAATGATTTCGAACTTATAATAACATTAAGCATTGAAATAGGATTTAGTATAAAAACGTTCCGTAAAACGAAGAGTTCGAGCAAAATGAGTTATTTTGCTTATTTTGAGCGTTTTGTTTCGTTGTATACACGTAGATACATTATAACGATTTTTATTCTAATTTTATCAACATAATATATCATTTATGAGTACATGACTCATAGAGATAGGTACATATTGAGTTCTATTATCAATGATAGTTACACAAAATAATAACTTGTATTGCACTAAGTACAAATGTTTAATAATTACATGACAATGCAATCAAAAAATAATTGTTTTATTAAATTATATTAGTAGCAGTATAAACAGTAGTAGTATTAATATAGATTTTCAATTTAAATTTTTATGAAATATATTTACTACAGTGTTTATGCTGTTATTAGTTATGTAATAATCTAAAAGTTTTTATGATCAGTTTGAATCATGAAAAAAAACGCATATTCACTATATTATTATATAAGAGAATTGAAATTCCCAAACTCTAATAATAATTTTTGATTTAGAGCAACAAATATTAAGTTATTTAAAAATTGTTTTCATGATTACTAAATTTTACCTGAAATGCAAATCGATCAAGATAAATTAATTTTACAATACTATTTGCTTTTATAAGATTAATACTCATATAGAAAATAAAAATATAAAAATATAAAAATATAAATAAATGAATACAATATAATAAATTTTATATTTTTAAACTTGCATTGTACATTGTAAGATATATAAGAAAATAATATTATGTTCTATACATTTTAGATATTAATATAGCTCAAGACATTAATAAAGTTAATATAATTGATCTAATTTTTTTTAGGAAGTGGATCTCCAAAAGGCACTCTGAAAGATACTCAAAGAAGTTCATCACCACATAAGAACGCACAGTATTCACAAAAACAGGGGTTTCCCGATGATTCAAGGAGAGCTAGCAGTAGTGTGAGCCAAGTAAGAATATCGGTTGGTTTTTTGAATTTTAAGTTCTTTAATAATCATTTTATTTTATTATGTAATGGTATATTTATGTTTAATTTATTGAGAACATTTTGTAGGAATAGTATTACGGGTATTAATATTAAGCAAAGTAGAAACTTCATAATTTACTTCTTAATAATATAATCTTTTAACTTTCGTTAATTTTAATTCCGAGAAACATTCACATAAAACAACATTTAGAATAAAATCACCTTGTCATTCCAATATTCAGTTGTAATTATTTATAGAAGTTATTTTCTTTCGGTTTCAGCTCAATTGCTCCTGGACAGCATAACAATTGATCTGTCGGAAGGTTTGACGGGCTATACTACGTTCCGTTTACTGTCATTTTTCAAGAAAAATCCTTTGATCATATCTTTAGAAAAACGATTTAGATTTAATTTTGGCATAATACATATATTCTATCACAATGACAACCAATAGAATTGAAATTGTATGAAACCATTATCCCTGAATACTGCACTGATTGAGAAATCGTGTAAACACCACAACGAATTAATTGAATATTAACAAAATATTTAACAAAAGTTATTCTATTTATTAATTATGGAAATCATTTTCGTTAGAAACCGACGGAAATATCTTGAATTAAGAGGTAAATCAATGGCTTTTAAAAAATAGTAATAGTTTTTATCTATCATATGATTCAGAAGAAGCTGTTGAGAAATTGGTTTATGGTTGACGACTATTATATTTTTTAATATGTTTTCATTCAAACATCAATAAGGTTAATTATTTAAATTTTTGTTTCCTATTTTAATTTATTTAACGAGTGTTAAAATATATCAGTTTAACATTATTTTCATTACAAATATGTTATTATTATACGCCAAAGAAAAATTATCTTCAAAAAATTAATTCATCCAATTCTCATGGATAAAGGTTTATTTTTAACAAAGAAATACAGTTTTTTTTTTTTTTTAATTATTATTTAATGTCACCGTAAAATGCCATTAACCTTAAATGTATTTTGCAATTTATTTTTTGCTTGTTGGGTGGTGAAATATTATTCTTTGTAAACAATGTGTGACCCTCACTTTAGCCAGTCATCGATGTTATCGCTCATTTATAACATAATTTTAATGATATTTATTGATAAATTATTGGTAATCATTATCATTACATGATTACATTAAAAAAAAAAAAAAAAAAAAAAATGAAAATATTATAATTTAAAATTTTTCTTGGTGAGTTTGGTAATTTAATACAATTTTTATGTACCCGATAAGTGATTATTTTGGTATTATTCTTATAATTATAATCATATTGAATCAGAATAACTTAAATTTTCAATTATTAAAAGAACATACGTTTTGAAGACACCAAATATTTGTATTTGAATAGATCTACGTGAAATTGATGTTTTGATAACTATGACTTTAATAAGTACAAAAATATTGAGATTTTATGTACAACAATCATGCTTAATTATTTCGTCTGAATAAATTAAACGATATTTACTTTTATTTTGTTATAAATTTAAGACAGCTTTATAGAATTTTATACGAACACAAAGAAATATTTTTATTATATATTATTAAATTTATAAAAATTAATAATTATATTTAATATTATAAAAAGATCCTAAAAACAAATGTTACACGATAAGAAGAGAAATAATGGATTTATTTAAATTAAGGAACACATTACAACTAATAATAAAAAAAAATAATGATAAGTTTAGTGTTAAATTTTCATTTTTGCATTTGAAAACTAATATCAGAATATAGATAATTTAGCCATATTTTTAATGTAAATTACTACATTGAAGTATTTCTGTTTGGATATGAAAAAAGGAAAATTAATGATTTCCTTGACACACAGAAAAGGAACGATTTTCTAGATATGAGCGAATTATTAGGTAGAGAATATCAGGGAGAAAAAAATTTAGTTTGAATAGCAGGTGGTTGTACCAAATTGTATTAAAGGGCTCGCGCTATATCCAGGAAAACTCCTGAACAATATTTTTTCTTTTCGAATGAGGAAGCGATTTTGTCAATTAACGTATGAACTTGTTGGATTGTGGAGTGGCTAGTGTGGAACTTGAAATATTATAAATGTAATGCCCTACTTTTCTCCGTTATTGTAATATAATATTTACTTTTATCGCTTTATAATATATTTCTATGATAAATGGAATTTGACAATGATGTGTTCTATTGGTTTATACATTCTTAAGTTCATGTTTCCGCAGGTTTCCGGTGACGAGAGGAAACGTCTGTGCGAGCATGTGAAGCCTTGCGACAGTGGCCTAACCGTCTATGGTTCGTTGACATATCAATTGAACCACGCCAACATGGAATCGACAGGCATATTCGATTTTATTATTAAAGCGCTGAGCATCATACACAGAACGGGTGAGTGAATTTTAATGTGCCCACACAAACCACCAATATATTTACAGAAAATATTTTTATATCGATAAATGAACCATCCTTTAGGGATCTTAAAACCGATACTGATATTAAACCGAATATTGACTCTTGATAATAAATTTAATGTTTATGATTTTTTTTTAGTTTCCTCTCGAAGTTTTGTATGAAAAACAATTGTATCATATAGACTTATAACAGTATTTAATTCTAAATGTTGTCATTCATTTTTTTGTAGCTTCTTAAAACCGATTTTTGTTATGATGTAAATTGAAACAACTTTAAATTTAATTTATGCCCATCGTGCGTTTATAAATACGAAAATAAAAATCATAATAAAATATTGAATCATCAAGCGATCGAGCCCAACGTCTAAAAGGCGCGTACACACGAGCGAACAAAAATAATTAATAATCTCGTGTATATGTTTGTATACAAATAATATGTTTACAATAAGTTTGTACTGAAATAATATGGAAAAAAAGTTACTACTCTTACGGGTGTACTGTGCAATATGTACCTAATGTACGCCTGGAAAGTTTTTTTATTTAGTTTTTATTTTTAAAATATTCTACTACTTTCTATACTCCGTACATACAGTGTTTGACATTTCAAAATTATATTTTATTCGTATAGAATAGTTACACAATATTCCGAAAGTGTTTTCGTGTATTACAATTTTACAGCCACCACGTCATATAATATTACGACGTTGTTTATAGTTTAGAGTCTAGACTTTGAATAATATTTAAACGTATATATTATCACAACGAATATGTGAAATGTTTGTAATGGTAATAAGACATTTACTGTCTGGAAAAAATTACAATTATGGTGAGAGTCCAGTAGCTTCGGCAAAGATTAAAACACTCATAGATCAATTGGTAATGACTGTCGGACTTAATCAATATTAAAATATATTAAAACGATATAGTGTTCAATGCATCATAATGTCGCACCCGAGTAACAGACGTGATAATATCCATGATCTGGATTTGAATAGAATTAGAATAATAATGCACCATTCCCACAAGTTTTCTGGTTATTGAATGTTCCACTTTAAAAACCCAAAAAGTCGACATTTTTTTTTTATTTGTTATGTAGTTACCAAGGTTGAGCAATAACGAGTTAAAAATTTAAATTCAAAATTAAATTATTATGTTAAGTTAATATAAACTGAGTTTATTATTCGTTACTTTATTTTGGAATTAACTTTTAATTTAATAAGTTATTTTTTTAATGTAATAACGTTTTAATTTAAGTTAATTTTATACAGAAATTTATTAAGTTTACATTAAGTAAGACATTAAGTTTAATTTTTATATAAAACAATTATCCATGTAATTTTGTTTTGCTTCATTGAACCTTGATTGTATATTTTCAGAAATTAAATATAAACAAAAGAGATTAATTTAAGATGGAATATAGTCAGTGGCGTGGTGACAAAATCTCAGACCCTGGCACAATTGTATAAGACCTCGCACCCACCTTTACAAGAATAACACGCTCTCCTTAAACTATATTTCTGTGTACTGTATACAATTGACTGACAGATTATTATTGTTATTATTGTAAAAAGTCCATGATCAGCTTCTGGTGGTGATTTATGTTATAAACACTGGTTAATTTATTATTATTCTGAGGCGCCTTGTAAATTCAATGTTTGCATATTATTACTGTTGTTATTATGATTAATAACAATCATCCATTTTATGCCTTGTTGTTGTTTTTCAATCATTAACGTCGAATCGTACGATCGGTCTTTGATATATTTACCCCGCAACCAAACGCGAGTCTTGGATCCATTTACAAGTATAAAGTTATTCGAGAAAAATTTACTTTTATGGATTTTTACCCGCGAAATATTTTCTATTTCACATTAAATTGAGAATGAACTTTTGTGTTCGTATTTTCACATCTACAATTCCCTTTAATTTTACGTACTGAGCTAGATTTATGGTTAACGTGGTAAAAAAAATAAAAAAAAATGGCGAGCGTTTATTTTGTATTGCTTTAATTTGGTTTTAAATTCATTACCTTCATTACCAAGTTTATTATAAATATTTATTTGAAAATAAAAAAAAAATTAGGACTGATGTTCTATCAAGTGTATGGCAGGTACCTATAATAATAATAATCATTTGTCAGATTGTTTTAATAAATCAGATTTAGTGGTTGCCGAAATTCGCAAAAAAAAAAAAAAAATGTTAAAAAAAAGTCGTTATCATTATTAAATTTAACACCAACGAAAGAACTTTATATCCACTGATTTCATAAAAACAACATTAGGTACTTGTCATCCGGTAGATTTGTAAAGTGCGTCCGAAAAAAAACAGTGCGCTCGGGGATAAAAGTAATTCGAATTCTATTTCGAGTCCTATATTTATTCGAACGCGTATCCAGCGTAAGAAAAGCGTTTCAAACGCGTATTCGGAACACGAACAGAAGAGTAGCATTATTCGGAAGTCCGACACTCCCGTTAGCGTGATGTTGCCAGCGTGATGTACCCGGAAAACGCGTACCGTCTCACACTCGAACAACTATTGAACGTCTTCTTTGTTCCTCGGCGTTCAAAAACCGTCAACCGACGACCGGAGAAATCCGTAAGCACTCTCGTAACGATTCGATCCCGTCGTGCAGGCAGGCCTGACGAGAAGAAGGGGAAAAGGGATGGTTTCCTCCGGTCCAGAATTTTTGAGAGGGTCCGAAAATTAGGGACTACAAATGATCAAAAATTGAACACAATTAATGATCAAAATTTAACGAACACTGCAGAAAAAATTAAGATATACCTAAAAATTTACCCCTGGGCCCGGATTTCTCTCTCCATGGCCCTGCGTGCAGGTCCTGCCGACGGAACGGCGTGTCGTAAGGGTCGTGCTATGCACTGCGTATTATTACCATTGTCACCGTCGGTGGTAGTCAGACCCGAATGGCCGAGTTCTCGGGAAAAATGCGAACGCGAGATTTTCAAACGAAAAATTCGGTCATTACGTCCAGCCTCCCGCGTTTATTTGTTTGTTCATGTCGACATTAATAATTTCGATTGCGTCGTCGCGCAGCATTCCTGTCACGTTTGTGTACCGCGACTACTGATGGTCCCCCACCGTACCGTTCACTGCGACACGTACACCTGAACTTGCGAACGTTTTCACGCCACAGACTCGTCCGAACGAAATCCTATAAAATTGCTACACGGCGAAATGTGCTGTTTGCCCGCGGCACGTCGTACGGTTTTGATCGGTGGTTATACGCATTATTATATGGGTTGAAATACGCTTATTTTATCCACCCTCTTCCTCCTATCGCCCTATACACATCCGACTAGGCGTTTGATTTGCGGCTTGTTGGACCACGCGGACAATCTTGTCCACAGCGAATAATTCACGAAAACAACCGAAAAATCTAGAAAAATCTGGTCGTAGGCTCCGGAACAGGGCCCTAAAATAACGGACCAAGTTATTACGCTGTTGTTATTGTTATGTTGATATAAACGTAGTTCCTACATGAATAACCAATGCTTTACGCTTAATATAGTTTAGAATTTAACATGAAATTATTGCATGTATTCCGCGGTAATAACAACTGAGTTTACCGTTTTACTTAAAAATTAACCTCGGTTTTAAAGTTTATAATGAATAAAAATGGCTTTCAACTATAAAAGCTTTTAATTCACAGTTTTTTCGGACTAACGTCTTGACGATAAAATTCAACAGAGTACAATAGATGAATATGCTTCTGATGTTGAACTGGATAATCTTATTTTGATGTATTTGCCGCATGTCTTGAGCTCCAGCTATAAATCCTACATTTTAATCTACATACTGCATACTTAATTTTAAGGGTAGGAGGTCAAAAGTGTATGCTTTTTTGTTTAATAAATAGAACATGTGTTTCTAGTTTAACCTCTATTATTTTAATCGATTGAATAAAAAAAAGTTTATATAACTAAATATTTTCTATAAAAGTCTTGCCAAGGTTTTGCCACACAATTCCTTGCCAACGTATTTATACTGCATACTAAATAAATACGGATAGCATTGAATTGAATTTCTTTTATATGTTTGAATTAAGTCATTTTTATTATCTTAATGTCTTCGAATTGAGTCCGTTTGGATAAGATAACGTAAGTCAGTAACGATATTAAACCTCGCACATCATTTTATATCGGTTATTCATTAATAAGATAATATTCGTCAAGGGATCAATAGTTATGTGTTAATGCTTTTCAATATATTATTAATTATTTTACATCGCCAAGTTTGACATTTCTCTCTTTAAAAGAGTACGTACATTTTGAAATTAGAACTTACAGTGCAATTAAACAAATTTTAACCGACGTTAGAATGTTATCGATTTAATTTGAAGCAAGGTTGGTGCCGAACAATTCACAAGTTGAGTCTATCTAAGGAATACAAGTATATAGTAATTCTAAGAAAACTATATATCTCAAGTATTATTTTGGATTACCAATCTTAAACAAAAATGACATAGTTTAATGCTTCACAGAAGATTTGATGACAATAAAACTACGTGATGACGAACAAATTAAAAGTTTATATTTTAAATAATTACGTTGACGATGGTGATGCACAGTTTCCTCCCCAAAATTTGAAGTAATTTTCACAAATCGGTCTAACTAACAGTTGCGAAAGTTTTCATGCAAAATAAAATTTATATTTTCAGTCATGATATCCAAATATTTTTATTCTTATTGACACTTTTATAAGAATACAGCTAAAAGTACATACATTGCAAAGTAAATCAACAAAACCATGTAAAATAAAATTGGAATAAAAACAATTTTTATAGAAACATAAACAAATATTCAAATAAACTAATTTGCAGATTTGAATCTTCAAAATTAGTAACATTTAAATTTTTATCAGCAACTATTTAGGATGTGAACTAAAAATTTATATTAAATATTGGTTGGACTCAACTCTGACAACCCAAAAGTATTGTAGGATTCAATTAAATTTTAC